CCCCAAAACCCCAAAACCCCAAAACCCCGATAAGTAGATTCAAAAATTATTAAAAAATCATTCTAAATATATTAATTTTAAGCTGATGTTAGAAATTTGAATATAATCAAACGCATCCAAATTCAGCCATCCACTTAGCATAATCATCAAGACTCTCTTTACTAACACTCTTTGAAATATTTTTAAGTGCATCTAAGAAATCTGATTGTGTTATTGGAATATCTATCTCATCATGCTTTAAACTAGCTATCTGCTCAAAGCTCAACTTTCCTTCCAATATTTTCTTCCTCATTGGCATCATTGCAGCATCTCTACATACATTAGAGATATCAGCACCACTATAACCTTTGGTTTTCTTTACTAATTAATCTAAATTAGTATCTTCAGCCATCTTAATGCCTTTTAAATTAATCTCAAATAATTGCTTTCTTCCTAATTCATTTGGTAAGGGAATATATATTCTTTTCTCAAGTCTTCTCCTAAATGCTTCATCTAAATCCCAAGGTCTGTTTGTTGCTGCGAGAACCATAACATTTTTCATTCGCTCACCTTCAGCTTGATTTTCATTCGCTCCAGCACTACTTACAACAGCTACTCCATCCATCTAAATCAATAATTCTGCTTTTACTCTTCTATTTGCCTCATGCTCATTTCCTCCTCTTGCTCCTGCGATAGCATCAATTTCATCCATAAATATTGTTGTAGGTGCATAAAACCTTGCCATTTCAAATAATATTCTTACTAGTTTTTCTGATTCACCTTTCCATTTAGATGATATTGATGAGGATGTAATATTGAAAAAAGTAGTTTTACCTTAAGTAGCAACTGCTTTAGCAAGCATAGTTTTACCAGTACCAGGAGGCCCAAACATAAGTACTCCTTTCCAAGGTCTTCTAATACCTTTGAAATACTGGGGCATCAGAATTGGTAAGAGAACTGCTTCTTAAAGAATCTTCTTAGCATCATCAAGTTCAGCGATATCATTAAAACTTACTTATGGGTTTTTATCGATAACATCTCTTTCTAGCATTTATATAAGTTCTGAATCAGGTCCATTTCCATCTGGATACATTGTATAGAGAAAAGAATTTTGATCAGGTTTTACATCCTTCTAATTTTCACCACTTTAAGCCCCTGAAAGCCAAGGCTTTGTATAGTTTCTATTTTTATCAAGTAAGTTTTGCTTGTTTTTAACTCCAGCGACGGCCCCTCCTTATGGTCCTTGAGGAGGTCTAGTAACGCTATTGATAGGTGGTTTTCTTTATTATGGTTAAGGCTATCTTCTTGGCTATTGACCCCAATTACTTTATGGTATACCTGGGGGCATTCCTCCCATTCCCATACCCATTCCTCCTCCCATTATGCCTCTTGGTTAAGGCACTCCATATTTAGGAGGAGTTGGGGGCTCCCAAATGTCTGGATCATTAGAAGAACCGTAATCTTGATCTCTAGAATTGGCATTATGTTATTAGAATTGGCTTTTATTTCTTCTTTAAACATAGCTCATGTGCTGATTTCCCATCTAGTCGTCTATATCATTTCCAAAATAATTATCAGGATTTGAAGTATGATGTGCGAAAGGCTGACCCCCTAATCTGTCAAAGTTTGGCATTCGTTTCTAAGTGGGTAACGGTACAATTGGATTTAAAATCATATTTTGATCAGCTGTCATGATATTTACAGGCAATTTATCCAATGCATTATTTTTCCTATTTTATAAGCCAGTACCAAATCCATTCTAAATAAATTATGTTGTTATGAGACCATTTATATTTACAGAAAAGCTTTTTTTAATCTAAAGAGTTTCATTTGTCATTGCATATTCTCTATTGATTTACTCAGCAACCATTTTCCACTTTTGCTTAAGCTGGTTATCGGTTAAAATTAACAAATGGCTATCAAGAAATTGAATTAAGATTTAATCATTTGTTACTTCTTGATGATTTATTGAGTAGACTAAAATTTTTTTAGAGATTCCTCATAATTTCCAAGTATTGAATTTTCCCTTGCGAGTTTCAATTCAGTTAAAAAATCATTCATACCTTTACTTTCCATTATTTATTGTCTTCTAATTTATATTATTTGAATTACTCTCAGAAATTAAATTCAGTTATGAGGGGTTTTGGGGTTTTGGGGTTTTGGGG